GACCCCTGCTTTGGATAATAGGTTGAGCCCCTCTTTTCTTTGTGGCAACCCTTCAAATATTAAAACACTGCTATCATGTCACTCCAAGTCCTTCTTTTCATTAAACTAGAGGTACCCAATCCTGCAACCTAATATAAACTAGAGGTACCCAATCCTGCAACATTGTTTGGGCTGGAGATAATACAGTTCAGTCAGGCCGTCAGATCACCTCATCCATTTTTTCCCCATATATGAATAACTTACCCTTTTTTTAACTCCCTTTTTAACTTTTGATGTTATTCTATCAAGCACCATTACCTTCAGTATGTTACTTTTCAGATTCATTGCATCATCCAGATGTCTAATAATAGTTGGAAATGATTTTTCTTCTCTGCCAGCAACTCGGCATTTTTGCCATACAATACGAACAATCATTAAAAATATCATCCTTTCAGTATATGCAATCGTTATGAATCTATCAAGACAAATATGGTGGATATTTTGTACTTAAGGGTGGCTGTTATATATAACATAGGGGAAACAGCTGATTGGCCGCAGTGAATTACTTACATTTGTTAACTGTCAACTGTTTGTTTGCAGAAACAGACAAAGCAATCAAATCTTTTGAATTTGAGCCAGAGATACAAATAGGAGGGAGGGGAAGAGTAAAACTTGATTTTTTGTTAGCTTTTTAATGTCCATATATTTCTTTAATATAATAAGTTTATGCAATGTATATGCTTGTTTTACTTCTAATGATTTTATGCAATAAAAATGTTACCCGCATTTCAGCACAGTTCCAAGAAATACAAAGCAACCATTTGCTTTGATTGGTGAAATTAAAAGCCTATGTTTGTCAAATATCTATGGAAATTTTCAGTCATCCAGCTCATGGTTGTTGCAAAAGTGCTTTTTTTTCAAGAGGCAACTGGACTTTCTTGGTTTTTCTTTGAAGACATTTTTGCTTCTCATCCAAGAAGCTTCTTCAGCTGTTCAGATGGATAAGAAGCGAAATGTCTTCAAAGAAAAAACAAGAAAATCCACTTGCCTCTTGAAAAAGCACTCTTGGGACCTATATTTGTTACTTTGGATGCTTGATGTGAACCAGTTTCATTCCTTACTTTGCTAGATTCATTAAGAATCAAATACCTTCCTAAGCGGAAAGGCCTGTCCGCTATTTGTTTCTTGGCTGCAATGCAGCATGACAGAATATTGGAAATATATATGCAGAGGCAGGGCTGTATTTTGGTATTCTCTTATCGTTATCTCTTATCTTTGACTAAGTCATAGGTTTATTTTGCAGATCTGTAAGTAAGACAAGCCTAGGCCAGAGATCACATATGTAGTTCTTTTTAGAAAGTTCATTTCACTGGGATATAAACTTATTTCCCTAGAACAATTTTGTTTTACAATTAATTAAATCAGAACCACTGTTTAGCACAGAACTCCATTTTCCACTAAAACAGCTCCCATTTGATCTATGTTTCCTGTTAGTTTCCAACAAACTCCATTTAGTTCAGATCAGGATAAATTCTATTTAAGATGCTACCAGAAACAGAACTTTTGTTGGTGAGGGACATAATTTGAAATAAAGCATAAGACCAAAAGTTGATGTAACACATTGTAATCCTCAGAAAACATCCTTAAAATCTTTGGGAACGATTCACTATCATTTGCTAAAGTGTTCCTGGGCTGAATCCCCTTTACTTCGTTAATGAACTCAAAACTTGGCAACTGTACTGAAAACTAATCTTTCTGTGCTTTCAGAATTTTGCTCAGAAAACTTTCCCTCACTCTGATGCCCTCCAGAATTCTTTTATAGCCAGTGTCCATTTGCTCCAGTAAACTCAATCAGAACCCAGATGCACAGCCTTTGGGTCTTCTAAAGCAGGGGTCCCCAACCGCCGGTCCGCGGACCGGTACCGGTCCGCGGAACAAGTCTTACCGGGCCGCTGGTTGCTGGGCGCCGCCATCTTTTTTTGATAAAAAAGTGCTTCCGGTGAGCTTTTCCGGGTAGAAAGCTCACCGGAAGCACTTTTTCATCAAAAAAAGATGGTGGCGCCAGCGCTTCCGGTGAGCTTTTCCAGGTAGAAAGCCATTTCTACCCGAAAGAGCTCACCGGAAGCACTGGCGCCGCCATCTTTTTTGATGAAAAAGTGCTTCCGGTGAGGTCACCGGAAGCACTTTTTCATCAAAAAAAGATGGCGGCGCCCAGTTGATGCCGGTACTGGGCCGCGGCATAAAAAAGGTTGGGGATCACTGTTCTAAAGCAATGATCAGATCACCTCTCGTAGTACAAATGAAGTTTAAGGGTTAAATTCAAGTGATATGTTCCATCGGACTGTTTCTTGTCTGTTTTGTAGACCATGCACTTGGAACATGCTGTTTGTGAGGTCTGAATTGACAAGGTAGAAAGCAAAGGTGCTAGCATGTCTGCATATAAAGATGCATAAATTCTGTGTCATGCCCCTGTTGGAATCTGAATCTGAGGAGGTGTCAGACTGTGCTCCTTCTAAATCCCAAGAAAGAAATACTCAGACTCCATGGTGTAGAGCAGAATTATTCTTTTACTGGAAATTGAATGGTAGCAACAGAATCAATTCCGAAACTGAGATATTGGCGGGTAAAATGCATATACAAAGGGATAGAATTGCTCCCCCCTTCCAAAGATCAAATGATTCTTCCAATTAAAACTTCTGAATAGGATCATGTGGTCATCTCCAGGTGAGGATGAGGCTACTGTCAGTGACCTTGACATATTTTGATAAAAGTTCGCAGCTGCGCAGAAAAAGGACAGAGGCTAGCGAAGAAATGGAAAGTTAAAACAAAGAATCCCCCCTCCCTTTCTTAACCCAGCAAAGGAATGCAAAACACCTCCTGCCTTCTTCCCCTCCAAGATTCCCCCCCTCCCACCGTTTCATGACAGCCGAAAGAGAGGAAAAGAGCATAGCAACAAATAAGCCATAATTAGGGGTGAAGATATCTTGATAGTTAGGGGTGAATATATCTTGAGGCTGACATGAGGAAGTCGAACAGCTGACAGGGAATGTGAGTGTGGCTCCGTTGGCTGTGGAGGAAACTGGGGAAGGGCAAAGTCCAGCTGGGCAGAGCAGGGGAGAGGTAGAACAAGGGAGAGGGAGTTCAGAGGAAGACCCAGGCCCACCCCCTCTTCATCCTAGGGCATGCAGGGAAGAAGAGCAACGGTGAAGAGAGCAACGTGGGTTGCATGGTTTATGGGGGAGGAAAGGGCCCTGATTCCCTTCATTAGCCACAGCTGGGAAGAAAGTTTATGAATCAAAAAGTTAAACGTGAACATGTGTGACTTCTTTTGTAAGCAAGACCAACCAGGATCGCTTATCAAATCCATCTTCACTGGATTGCTCTCCTCTTTGAAAAAGGAAAACAAGCAAGAAGGAAATTAGATTTTTAAAAAATCAATTTCATATATAAAAACCAAATGTTTCCTGGAGAGCTTTTATTTGCTTTTTAATTCTTCCAAAAAGGTGCCTTAGAAAGATCCTGGCTCTAATCCTCACAATGTGATTTTTATGTTTCCAAACAGCACATATGCTTGGAAATTGCATTCCAGTATATTTTCATTTTTCAAATAGGAATCCTTACAAGAGTTCCTAGAAATGTTGGCACAAATGTAAATTACGAAAAAGAGCCTTTAAGTAGTAAGTAGAGCAGGAATAGTAAATCAAAATACAGATAGTCCTCGACTTACAATGGTTCATTTAGTGACCATTCAAAGTTACAACAGCACTCAAAAAATTTTGACCATTTTTCACACACTTCAGATGCTTCGTACTTATGACGGGTGTGGTGTGATGACCCAGGTTGGGATACAAAAGCAACAAAGTCACAAAAACAGGTGAAGTCTCTTTAATTCCTTCAACTTGGCTTCAAAGGTCCAAATATTATTGACTGGAGAAAAAACTCCCCCACAAACAGTTGCGAAAAGGAAGAACTTCCATTCAAACTCAAAATACATATAAATTATAAATAGACAAAAAACAACACAAACCACACTGAAGCAATTAAGGAGACCAGGCAGGGTAAAGGCTTGAAGACGTCCACAGATATCGTAACATACACTGGGAAGGACGCCAAATTCAGAGAGGAACGACAGACTAGAAGTATTTCCACGCTTTGTTTCCAGCACTGGCCCATACACATGTCCGTCCTTTTAACCAGTTCTCACAGCTGCAGCCCATGAAGAGTATTAAGGCCCTTTCCTCCCCCGTAGACCACGCCATTCACTTCCTTATCCTCTCCTCCCTGCGTGCTCTAGGATGGATAGGGGATGGGCCTGGGTCCTCCTCTGACTGCCCAGCCGGCCTCTGCCCTTCCCCACCCTCCTCCACAACCTCCAGAGCCACACTTCCACTCCCTGTCGGCTGTTCCTCCTCTCCCTCAGAGTCAGTGTCCAACAGGGGCATGACAACAACCATGCTTTTAGATACCGGTATGTTATCAGTTCCTAGATTAAAGATAAAGGTTCCCCTCCTACATACCTGCTAGTCGTTCCCAGCTCAAGGGGGCGGTGCTCATCTCCATTACAAAGAGGAAGAGCCAGTGCTGTCCGAAGGCGTCTCCGTGGTCATGTGACCGGCATGACTTAATGCCCAAGGCGCACGGAATGCTGTTACCTTCCCACCAAAGGTAGTCCGTATTTTTCTACTTGCATTTTTATGTGCTTTTCAACTGCTAGGTTGGCAAAAGCGAGGACAAGTAACGGGAGCTTCCTCCGTTATGCGGTGCTAGGGATTCGAACTGCCGAACCGCCGACCTTTCTGATTGACAGGCTCAGCGTCTTAGCCACCAAGCCACCTTGTGAACTTCAGCAAGCCACCTAGATTATTACCAACCAAAACAGGGCGGCTACTATTGTAAAAGTTGAACAGTATTTCTGTACTTTAAAATATATAGGCCACATTCTGCAATATGGACATCACTAAGCTAGGACAAACCTGTTTGATTTTAACAGATGTTAGCCTAAACTTTCCTTTTGTTAACAGAGAACCAGCGGCTAGATCTCTCTGGGAGTCCTTAATGAATCTAAAACAGAAAGAAGGTTTGATGGAAGTTAGAAGACACCTTGTGGAAGCTGCAAGCCGAGAACATTTGCCAATCAAGATGAGCATGGGTGAGCCCATATGCCATTAACTAACTCTACACTGCGAATGCACTAGAAGCAGCGCGACTTCATAATGATTGTTCATTTGATAAGCTGGGATTATTGCTCATTGGACAGGAAGCTAAATTTTCTGAAGTGAGTAGGATTGTAATGCCTTTGTTATATATAGAGACCATTTCTGTGATTCTGCATTTAAAAATCTGCTCTGTTTTTTGTAATGGAACAGTTAGAACAGTTAGACAATTGTATCAATCTGCATGATTAAATAGTTTGCTGAAATAAATGTATTGTATCAGGAATCGTATTGAT